TAAAGCACTTCTTACTTTTTCACTACTACACAGCATATTTTCATTAATGTTCAGGCAATCCACCGATACAGCCAAAAGAAATATTTATACAAATTTTTAATCTTCCGATAAAGATGAAAATTTGTTCTAATTATTATATTTGATCAATTTTGCATGAACAATGCTGTACTGAAATATATTCTTAGTAAAAAATGCTTAAAAAATCCACATTGTCCCTGGCACTCCGAGATGGGACTTGAACCCATGACCTTATGCAATCCTGGCGACTGCTCTAACCAGGACCTAACAGGACCGACAAATTTTTCAAGCACTTGTTACTTTTTCACTACTACAGAGCATATTACAGGCAATCCACCCAAATAGGCAATAGAAATATTTTTACAAATATTTAAACTTTCGATAAAGATGAAGAGAAGAGGTTTTAAAGCGGTATTTGTTAAGAATATTTTACAATAAAGCATTGTGAATGTAATATTGACTAAATAAAATAAATAAAACACATTATTAATGGTTATATCAATTTTATATATATACAAAGGCATTTTATATAATATTGAAAATTTAATTAGTTCAGTCTTAAGGCTAAATTAATCATGATTTATTATAAATAAATTTGGATATTTGCATTAGATTTATTATAACACCTACTTGGAATGAGTAAAAAACAGATATCTACATGAATTTAATTACTTTTCTATATACCTTGTAGTATCGTAAGGTAGGAACCTTCATAAAGATTAAAACAAATATATTTTACCTCAAAAAGACAATGTAGGTAGAAGAAATTCAAAAACCTATGAAATATGTATATCTGTTAGTGATTTTATATGATAAAAATTTTAAGCAAAGAAAACACGTAGAGAAATTCAATATCGTAAACACGTGAAAAGAGCGATTAGTAAGATACCATAAAATTAACATTAACTAAAACATGCCAAGAAAATTTAAACTCACCTTCAATGACATCTTGATAATATTATATTTCTAGATTTTCACTACAAACGTCAATATACAACCATCATTTTTCTCCTGATCAATTAAAATTTTAACACTGCACAGCTATTAAAATTATCAATTAAAATACTTCAGTTAAATTCGTTACTAAATCGAAACTGTCATTACGTAATTGTTGATGAATGTTACCCAAACAATTTATTTAATTTGATTTACTACGGACCAGCGGAGTAAAGTAACAACGTCGTAAAATATTATTCAACGCAATACACACCACTACCTACAAACGAAATAGCTCGTCGATTAATTTTCCCTCGCTCGCATCGCATTTGAGACTCCATTGACAGTCGGAAAACGCAGTGTTACTAGTAGCAAAATATTTTTCTACCAGTTATACCAAGCAAAGGATATGAATAATGGTTACGCTATACTTATTGATTATTAATTACCAGTATTGTTTATACCTTGTTTGGTATATTTTACTACAAGCATTTATATAATCTTTATCTTCATGCGGCGCCGTATCCCTTGTGTGGTAGACAGGTATAATAACCAATTATAAAAAAAAACTGAAAGCGGTGTAATAAATAAGAAAAACAAGCAATATTTTTTAATTTCTTTCATCATTTTTCAATAATATCATTTTCACAGCCTGTATGGCAGACTTTTTGGTGTATTCATTGCTATGTGTAGTGGATAAGTGTCCACGTAGCTCAGTGGCTGTATTTGTTTGGTAGTCGCATAATTTGCAATGATATAAATACTTCCCGGGATGTCTGCCACTGCTGAGGACATGTTTGCGAAGGTTTTCCTAAAATAAAATTAAAATTAGTTCATACATAATAATCGTACTAAAGGCAGTTTAGAAGTAATAGTTAGTGTTAAGTTTAGCACCGATAACAGACAAAACGCGCATTTGTTTCGCGTGCGTTTATCTGAAAAAAATCGAGATAAACTAATAATAATTATAAAACGTTCATCTTACTAAGTCGTGCTTCAAGAAATATATATTGATTAATAATAAATTTTAATAAACGATTTTTTTTGTCTGGAAGATATTTGCATTTATTTGCTATATAAGCCAATCAAAACGATTGTCAGGTTACTGAGTTCAAGAAATCAATATGAATTGTAATAATTCTGAGACTTTTATCTATGGCAAAAAACCTTAAAACAAAAGCACATCGAGTGGGGTAATTTGCTTGTTGAGCAATGTTAGACTTAATTCTGTGCGTTTTGGCTCGTTACAGATGAACGCTCTATTCGGCGTATCTTGTCGACACGAGCCTTAAAGCTATACCCAAAGGCCGGCCTATAGTTCATAAAATATAGCGTGATCTCTGTGACAGAAGTCAATGAAACCAACGAAGTAACTTTGAAAAAGCGTCATGTTTACAATGTAATTTTTGTATCACTTATATTTTTATTGTTTACGTATGGGTATTATCACAAGTGTACTGTAATGCATTGTAAATTTAAAAATCACCTAAAACTTTTTTTCGTAAGTTATAAAACTACTAGCAAAGACTATAAAAATGTGACGCTTACGCATTACAAGGTTTTCACTAACAAAAAGAAAGAGATGTGACAGTCGACAAATGTAAATACGATAATCTTTATTCAATCTATACTAATAATAATATAAAAAGCATAATGCTTAAAAAATATATTATATAGTGTTATAATTAAATACATAATCATTATTGTTAATAACATAATCCTTATAAATAAGACAGTTGCAATCGTTAGATTAATCTAACGACTTAGGCTATTGTGGCGGCACCACACAGTGACGCCGGTGGCCATGTTGATTACTGTGCGTTAAGTATCATCTCGTGTCATTCAGTACAAATGCCGATACCTAGTATGCGCTACGTTTGTTTCTATTTTGGTGGTTGTCCCATTAAGTGTTAAGCTTCACCGGTCTCGGATATTGACAATTTCGACGCTGCTGCTATCCAGAATCATATTTATGGATATTATAACCGAGGCGAATACCCAAAACGCCTAAAGTTGAGTGTGTCTCTCAAAGATGCAGATTTATTTAAAGAAAACTTGCCGAGTCTATCCAAAATATTAAAAAATATAAGCTTTTAATATGAAAAAATTATATTGGAGAGAACGGACATTACTCTGACCCGTATTGATTTTTTAAGAAATATTAAAATGGTTACTGACTGGGACAAGATAGTTTTTCAGGATGAAACGTGGCTAAATACAAACCAAACAATCTCAAAGTCATGGACAAATGACAAAGCAGACTTCACCCTGAAGGCATTATTTCGTGTATAGAAGTAAAATAATTTTCAAAAATCAATTAAAACTCATACTCTATTTGTACTTATTCGTTTTTGTATTGATATCTAAGTTTAGAACTTTGTAAATTTCAATTTCTTAATATGTTTGTTAAAAGGAATGGAAATGACTATCTTTGGTTGGTAAAAGGAATAGTGAGGTGCTTTCTTAACGCATTCTTTTTTTAAATACTTCTTCTTCGTAGGTGCACTCATTTCGATAAATAAATACAATGAATTTACAGTTTTTGTTTGATTAAAATATAATCCATCTTGATTACCTTTTTAAATTGTACTATTCAGATATGAGTGAACATTGTAACACTATAGGTAGTATAATCTCCACAAATCGCTAATGCACCAGGTGGCCATTTTAATGACGTAATTTATCTCATGAATTATGTGTTATATGTAGTTTCTATTTTAAAAATGACGTCACGTGGGTGTTTTTAGACAAGGTTAAAGCGCATAAGCAATTTACGGGAATATTTTTATTGTATACATTAAAGATAAATGTACAATAATATTATCTTATTTTAAATTACCTCCTATAAGAATGAATGTTTTTAAACCTAGATACATTATCTTCATAGTCCGATTGTAAATAAATAAATAATCAAAAGTTCAAAATATCTTCATTGATCGTTTCAATCATCTAAAATTAGTTTTGTTAATATAAAAAGTTCTATCGACAAAAAATATGGATTATATGGTAAATGTCACAGCTCTAGTGACAGCTGTCACAGAGATCAAGCAATATTATAAAAGTATTATTGTTCTGTGATAAAAACTACCTACCTATAGTGGGCATTAGCATTAGTAGGTATTTAAAAAAAATAGTCCCCGAAATCAAACCACTCATCGCTACGGTACAGTCTTGATTTCTCCATGACAACCCCTCCGCTTTTCTTTCATGTATAAAAGTAAATTAATTTTCGAAACTCTTTAAACAACTCTTATTCTATTTGTGTTGATATCTAAGTTTCCAACTTTGCAAATTTCATATGTTAGAGATGCTATCTAGTGACATGCTTTTTTAATGCTTTCTTTCTTTTCTTATAATACCTCCTCATTGTCTAATTTTAAAATGTATCGCAATCCCTTTCAAAGGTATAGCGAATTATGCAATGATAATGTTATTCATGATCATGACTATAAAAAATGTCTATTCAGGCACCTCGGGCGAATCACATTTTTGGGCACCCTCATTATTTTTATGGATAAGATAATTATTTCTATAAATATAATAGAACATTTATATTTCTGAGTATGCCGTTTTAATCTAATGAATCATTATAGAAACAAAACTACAATTTGTGTATTTTCCATTATATAAATAGTGTTATTCTTTCCTTTAGCTTTTTTTTGAAATATAAGTAATTTTATTGCTATTGCAAACTTACCAAACTGCCACATGTAAAATCACAGTGGGGGCAAGCATATGGTTTCACACCTTCGTGACATCGTAAATGCCGTTGCATATGACTCGCCTGGTTTGTTTTGAATTGACACACGTTACATTCATGATTCCATATTTTTTCTCCGTGTAAATTTCGGTGTCTAAAATACAGAAAATAAATAACGTTCACAAATTTTGAAGACTGCTATTGACATCTATTGTAAATAAGCAAAAATAAAGTAACAATAGAGGAGTTTCTTCATAACTGTGCTTTTTGTAGTGCTTGTATGTATAGTTCTTAACTGCGAGTATAGATGGCGTAGAAAAGAGTTTGTCAAAATATTTATGTTTTGATTTCAATATCTCATCATATTAAGGTATCTATGTTTTCATTATTGCTAATAAATGAAATAAAATTTTTATTTATCAGAAAAAGAACAATAAAAATGCAATGAGCATTTAAAAAATTAGGTATAGGTTTTGTGGTGCCTATATGTATTAGTAACTTATCGATATAATACATATAAATAGATTACCTGTTGAGTATCGCTTGTGAAGAGCCCACATACGTGCAGCCAGGGTGAGGACAACGCCGTCCTTCACATTCGTGCCGACTGAGAGCGCTCCTGTTAGAACAAACCAAATTACTTGTATGTGTAATGTATGTTAGAGTTTCCTGTAGTTTTTTTGCGCTCCAAAATCATAGAGGGACTAGTGATTCTTTCTATGTGAATTATAATTATTCATAGAGAAAGCCTTATTCAACAGTAGAACGTCGGCTGGTATCTTCTATTTATATTGATCCATAATTACTTTAACACGGACAGTCCACGAATAGAACGACAAAAAAGACCATCTATCGTCTCTACAACTGATAAGAGAGTAAGTTGCACACTAGCGCCATAGTCGAAAATTTAATTTTTTCATCAATTATGGTTTGAAGAGATATTGTAAGATCATTAAGTACTGTATTAATATTAATGGCATTACTGCAGTGCATATTCATGGTCTTAAGAAGTATCAATTTTGAAATTAAGCAGATAGATTCTCTAACCTAAATCGATATTATTAACTAACTATGTAGTTAGAAGCGTCGTGGGTATGTTTTAGAATTCTGGAAGTGTGGTAGAAAATAATTTATTTAATATTATATATTGTAATGGCCACAGAATTTTAATTTTAGTGTTTATTCATAATAAAAGCTTTGGCGCTAATGTCGACTTAATTTATTTATAAATCTTAGTTCCTCTACTGACCACTAGGGGCGTTGCATACGTTAAGTGCTTATAATATGTGCATAGGTGTTATTTTTTCATACCTCCTGTAGATAGGTATTTAAATTATTTTTAGAACGTCTGGATTTACCAGCATAACAATGCAAATGCATCGTTTTGAAAGTTCATATGCAACTTCTATCACCGTTAAAGTATCCAAGCCAGCTTTAAAGCTCATTATGGTGGCAGAAATAAAACACATTAGCCCACCACGGAATCTAACAACGACTCTCCAACTATCATCTTAGGTTTGCACTTAAAGCAGTACTCGCGTTACTTATAGTCTAAGTTTGATCATAAAGGGTGTAGTGCATGCTTGACACTCAAAGTAGGTAGCTACCAGTAGAAACGTATGCAACTCGGGAATAGAATTCGTGTGGTGTGAGCGGTCTGAATGTTACATACAAACACTTCCTTGTTATATACTTTTGATCTTCAACTATAAAAGATATAGCTATATCAGTTTGTTTCAAATACTGATAATAAATTTGGGACGAAGGACTAAGTTAGTAACAATGTTGCCTAATCTGAATTATGATAGATCATAGGAGGCACAGATATCTGTGATAGGATGTATATTTGTGAAAAAATTATTGTGTTATTTCAGTAGCTACATTTTATTATATTTCATTATATTCTTAATGGAAAATGCTAAAAAGAATTCACTTGGTGCCTGACACCCTGAATATGGGACTCGAACCCGTGACCTTTCGCAATCAGGGCAACTGCTCTTACCACTGAGCTACTATTGCAAAAGGTCATGGGTCATAGGTCATTTTTTAAGTATTTTTCGTTAAGAATATTTTTTTTAGATTCATTTCTTTCTGACACAGAAAGAATTTATTCATATAAAAATATCTTTAATCAATCATTTATTAGCCGTACTGTCAATTGGTCGCAGTCCCTCAAGTAGATAGCAATATGGTTACATTTGTGTTTATTACGCAACCGTACGTTTTGTAAGTCATCGGGTCGTTCAACGATTACAGGCCCGAAAATAAAATACATATTTAAGTGGCATTGTATCTAAGATCCCTTCGCACATAAATTCATCGTCGTAATCTTTCCCCTTCAAGAGCGTCCCGCGGCACGGCTAATCCCGATGCGTATTTACGTACCGACATCGACAAATAAATTATGCGACCGAACGACAAAATAAAGCTAATGATTTAGCAACATCAAATCAAACGCGTCAACCTGGGACGCAAATCCCTGATATACGCTGCTTCAACACGTGCCTACAATAAAACTGGGGTACGGTACTGTAATATTCGGATCTCGAAATATCAGGCATCCGGGGAAGAATTTATTACGGCTGGGTATAAAAACGTCAGCGGCGGCAGCGCCGGGGATGCACAATCAAAGAGCTCGTGTCAAATTATATATCCCGATATTTGTGAAGGAGTTGTGTGACAGGTGACACGGCCGCATCCGCCGCGCGCGACGCTTTATCGCAAATAATTGATGTCGACGCGTCCGCGCGTGCGCAATGATGCGTGCGTTATTTTTAAATCCCCGCGCAATCGGGCGATGCAACGGTGGAGGTAAACTTACCGGTTGGTGAAAGTCTTCAAGCACTTGTTACATCTGAAGTCATCCTTCAAGGAGGGCTGGACTGGTATCACAAGCTTTTTGGGAGGGTTAGATTTTAGTAAACGGGTCCCGTGGCTGTTTTTAAAGTGGTTCGAGAGACTAGATTGAGTGGTGAAGTTGGCACCGCATTTTGAGCACACGAAAGGTCTTTCGAAGGTGTGCAGTCGCAAATGCTGACGTAGAGATCGTTTTGTAAAACTCTTCGGGCAAAGAGGGCATTGGTATTTTTCGACTAATTTCTCTTTGTCGCCTAGTTTTCTGTGTACTTTGACAGGGTCCGTGTGTAAGACTTCGTGGAAGTAGCATTCCGCTTGAGAGTCTGTGTTGAACAGACATTTACTGCAGTTCCAAACGATGGAGGAGTCTACTGAGTGCGCGTCACCGAACTGACAGGCGTTACTTCTGACGTGTCGAGTGACCTCTTGAAAGAGAACGAAGGACATGCCGCATTTGGGACACCTGAAATAAAAATGATAATATATCAGTCAGTTATCGGTACCAGTTTTAATAAATATTTTGAAAATCTTACCCTATCCTTGCCTAGTGAAAAGTTGTATACACATATATATAGGTGTTATGACGCTACAATCGCTCGCACGCTTAAAATCATAATGAAAAATAATATTTTCTAAAAGTTCTGCCACAGCCATAACGGGAATTTTCAATATTTTCTCGATAGAAGAAAAACCCTAAGTTACTTCTAAAATTGGTTATTTTATGTTTTAGTCATACTTTTTTTTATGCACATTTACAATAATATTAATAGTTTGCGATTAATAAATGGAAACCATTTTTTGTCACGCAATAAAATAGACAGGAACAGTCTTTTACACGATTTCTTAAGTACTTACATATTAAATAATAGATTTGCGTAGCGTACTCGAGCGGGAAATTATGTTAAGATTTATTTTCGTATGAAAATAAAATGTTACCCATAGTCATAGTAAAAGTTTTGTTATATATAGTTGTTGATGTTTTACAATTAACCTTATAGATTTAATTTGACATTGCAAGTTAAATAAACTTATAAAATACAGCTCTCAACAACGCACCTACCCGGTATTGTCACACTTGCGTTAATTTATATTTAGGTTCGGTACACTGTACCAAGATAATGGAAGATGCGTAGTTCGATTCCCATCTAATGCAATTTTATTAATTTGGATTTCTTATTTAGAGGAAAAATGTAATGAAAAAATTACAATGGTTTTACTGCTCACCTTTTCTTGATTTCAGGATGTATTGTCCGTATATGTTCTTTCAGCTCCAAAATATTTTTCAACACCACTTCTTCGGTGCAATAGGTACATTTTCTGCTCAAATCTTTTACAGGCACTCCTTTATTTTGGAGAATTTCTTTCTTTCGCACACGATGCTCCGTGGTGAACCGATGATGCTTCGCTTCTTCCGATGTGTTAAATGTCAAAGAACATACTAAACAGAATAAGGTCTTCTGTTTATGCTTTGATTTCAAATGAGCCGCAAGGGTCAAAGAAGTTTTGAATTTGGCTTTACACTGTTGGCATTTGTGAAGCTCCTGATAATCATCAGTAGCCGTGAATGCTAGCTTATGTCCAGTTTTGTGACAGTGGCGTTTGATTTCTATATTATATTTGAATTCTTCTCCACAAGTCTCGCATGATAATACTGTTTTTTTCCTTATGATTATGGGCATCGATCTATTTATCACTGCTACTACTTCACTATGGTCGGAGCCTGACATATGTTGTAGCATTTCTTGCGAGGTATTGCACTCGTATTTACAAAAAGAACACCAATGTCTACCGTCTAAGGTAGCCATTTTGTTTTCGTGCTCTTCAGAAAACCAATGGTGCATGAAGTTGGACAGCCAATTGGTGTAAAATTTGCAAGGACTGCACTGAAATGGTGATTGGTGTACGATAGCCGTTATGTTATCCAGAATCAATTGCTGGTAAGCTTCGCTTCTGATGTCAGTGGCTTTTCGAAAGTGGTAATGGGATATGAGATGTTTACCCATTAAATGTAATCTCACCCGTGATTTGCAACCGGAACAGTGAACAAAAGTCGGCTTCCGATTTCTTTTCCTTTTCTCTATTTTGATTGCGATTTTAGGTTTTGTTTTAACAGGTTTCTTTTTGGTTTGTAAGTAAATCGTATTGTCGGTGAATCTAGACGGGCGCGATGACCTTTTGCCTGAGCGTAAAGGATTCAAATGCCCAGAGAATTCTAATTCATGTTCTGGAAGGACTTTCCTCATGTGTAAACTGGACATCAAGTGCTTTTCGTAAATAGCTCGAGAACCTAACCGTCGATTGCATGGACCACACCAGTACTGTACTGAACCTTTTGTCTGTATCTTCGTTTGCATGATTTGAGCTTTTTCGTGACCAGGCACCCATTTACCTTTAGTGTGACCTGGTGGAGGAGCATCATAATCGTCCTCTCTTTCGTTAGAATCTGGCATTATTGGTTTCCATTTGCCTCCTGTATGTTCCTGCTCTTCTCTCATATCCCATTCTTCATTTTCGGGGGAAGCAGGCCTCCATTTTCCGCCTGTGTAGTTAGGAGGAGGTTTCCATTTTCCTCCGCTGGTAGGTGGTTCTTCGTCATCGTCTTCATCGGAATCTTCTGATTCATCAAAATCTTCATCACACTTGAAGTCATTAAAAGCTGCGATGCTATAAGTTGATGTTGATATTTCCTTTTTCACTGAACCGCTGATGCTAGCGACAGCATTAATAAATTTAGTCTGATTATCTTCGTTTGTATTGATTCTCAAAGAACGTCCTCCTATCCAGTCCTCTTCTCTTAAGTTCGTTTCCAGTGGACTCATCCGAGGAATATCTCTAGATGTGGAAGCTTCTACTAAAGTGCTTTTCGTGTCTAAAACTGCTTTAGATATCGGTATAGGTGGAGTGAGTCTCGAGAGTGAAGTCTTTTTAACACTGCTCTGTAATTCGAGAGACTGGAAAAATACATCAGCGCCGAGGTTGTAAGTAGGATCTAAAGTATCTATACTAGGAATATCAGCTTTAGAAGTTTCAGGTTTCGATATTTTGCCACATCGCTGTTTTCTGTGCTTCACGTAGTTATCGAGCCCGACGATAGTCATGTTGCATTTGATGCAGAGGTGGTTGTCGTCGTCCTCATCATCGCGTAGCGACAGCATCTGGGAAGTCGAACAGATTAATTTGTGAGATGGCGGATAAGATGGATGGCGGAGCGCTGCCGGTGACATCGTCGCCGGGTGGAAATAACTCGTTAATCGCATGGTGCACGGATATTAGGCCGTGACATCTCCGAGCCGTCAGCGAACTGGGGCAATAAATACTGTTCCAATGCGAATTATTTAGTACCCGACCAGTTGTTTCGTGTTGATCGATAATGTATGCAAGTCGCTGAGCTCATTACGGCGGAACTAAAGTTTCGATTGCAACTGTCTGATATTTACATGAGGCCATCTATTAGTTTATTAGCGTTCGTTTTGAATTTGTTATTCTTTGTTTTGCGACGGAATGGAAATAGATAGCGCAGTAATAGAGTCATGACAAAGTGAATATCTGATAGCTTTTGTTTGGCTCGTGGGTGATTAAAGTTTCGAAGACGTATCGTTTGGCGCAGGATGACGAGGCGATAGTGGAAGGACGGCCACCAACGCCTCGAGTCGTGGTGTCATTAATAATGCGACGCTCACCTGCCGGATCACAGTGCATGATTTACTACGGAACGAGTATCAACGTTATTAGAATAGAAAAAGTTTATGATTCGAGAATTATCACCGCCTACGAGTTTTTGATAAATGCAAGACTTGATGAAAAGAGATTTGACCATAACCTAAGTGGTACTTAGTAGAGCACTATAACTATATGAATCCATACTTATATTATAATATTATAAATGCGAAAGTAACTCTGTCTGTCTGTTACTTAATCACGCCTAAACCACTGAACCAATTTGCATGAAATTTGGTATGGAGATATTTTAATACCCAAGAAAGGACATAGGCTACTTTTTACCGTGGGAAAATGACGCATTCCCACGGGAAAATAATCTCAATATATATAACTCAAAGGTGACTTACTGACATAGTGATCTATCAACGCACAGCCCAAACCACTGGACGGATCGGGCTGAAATTTGGCATACAGGTAGATGTTATGACGTAGGCATCCGCTAAGAAAGGATTTTGATCAATTCTATCCGCAAGGGGATAAAACTTTGTCAATTTTGAACCGATCGGGCTGAGATTTGTATAAATAAGGCTACTATGACGTAGGTATTCTCTAAAAAAGATTTTGATCTGATTCCACCCCCAAGGCGATAAAATAGGGGATGAAAGTTTGTATGAAACTTCGTCAATTTTAAGGGCTGAGACTTTGCATGCATAAAGCTACTATGACGTAAGCATCCCCTAAGATAGTATTTTGATAAATTCCACCCCTAAAGGCATAAGCTAAGAGGATAAGACTTTATTTCAGGTATTTTACACGATATAATGAATAAATATTCGTTAGAAATGCTGCTCAAAGTAACTTTACCACGCGGACGAAGTCGCGGGCAAAAGCTAGTTATAAATACGAAGAATTTGAACTCCATTTCAATCAAATTGTAAAGAGAATTGTTTGTGACTCCACAATATTTTAACTGCCACTGTTGAAAACTGCTCATATAACAACGAAAATCATAACAATAACACACAATGTCTTATCTTAACAGATTAATAAAATTACAACTAAACAAATTTAATTTCTGGTTGTAAATCTTTTGCTTTATCTGTAGATATTAATCGAACTGTAATATATGAAATTATTCAGTTCAATGGAATTGTGATAGATTAAAAAACAAATTAAATGTTTTAATAATAATGAAAAAATAAAACTTTACACGTTCAGTTAGTAATCGGCACCCGTTTTGTATGATTCGTGTATAGCTTACGAGGTACTGTGTGGCGTCCTTGGTGACACACGTCAATCGGCCCTCGCCGCCTGACACCATTGTGTGACACCTGACGTCTGACAAACGACCGCCTGTCATTTGTCAGTCGCTGTGTCGCTGGCGTGTCGTTAATGTCATTATTGCCGTTACACACCGGTTCTGGGAAGTTTTTAATTATTCCGATGTCTTTCGCCGCTTTTCTGTTTTGCTCTTTCACACTTCGACGGTCGGGTGACATATCGATTTTTTCACAAATAGGTATTGTTTGTTGTTTTATAAATTAAGTGTAGTTTCGTGCTTCACATACTAACTGTATAATTTGCATTTTGGTATTCTATAAATTATACTGTGTTGTCACTGACCACGTTAAGTATCCTCACATTCGTCTAATTCCTCTAGTGAATGCATCAATAGATAGATAGATAACCCTTTATTGTCAATAATACACTATTTCCAGATATAAACTTAAAATGTACTAACTTAGATTGCGTAACAATACGGCCTTGTCGCTTAAAGTGTTCGGGTCCACTTTCTTCCAGGTAACCAAAGAGATGGCAATGATAACGAAGACGACTAAGTGCATATCATAATATTAAAGACATACTATACCATATCTATACTAATATTATAAAACTGAAGAGTTTGTTAGTTTGTTTGAACGCGCTAATCTCAGGAACTACTGGTTCGAATTGAAAAAATATTTTTGTGTTGAATAGACCATTTATCGAGGAAGACATTAGGCTATATAACATCACGCTGCAACTATTAAGAGCGAAGAAATAATGGAAAACGCGGACGAAGTAGCTGGTAATTAATTACATTCAATATAACTTACACAAAGTACCTATATAAAATTAAACATAATAGATATATATAGAAATACAAAACATTTTTTAATAAAGTTTATTAACGCCACATCCTGTGAAGCCTGGACGACCTTTTTCGCACGTCCTTGTCGTAAGTGATCCACATTTCATCACCAGTTATCAGCTTTTTCAAAAATGATTCAGTTTCACTACGTTGTAATAAAGAATCACAAATGAGTACATGGTTCATTAAGTTTCTTTCAGTGAGCTCATGAGGTTCCTAAATATCCAACTTTTTTGTGAACCCAGCTTTTTCAAAAGCGTCAAAGCTGTTTTGTGGTCAATCCCCATTTCTTCAGCTACGTTCGTAATTAAAGATATGCCGATCTTGCTCCACTTTTCAAAAATGGCATCCAATTTATCCGTATCAGGGCGACCGGAGCGACTTGCATCGCTAATCTCACAGAAACTGCACAAGTTCCATAAACGACACAATTTTTTTCCTTTTTTATTATAAAATGTATGTCATTTTTTCATTGGATTCACACATTTTGACAGTAAGAAAAACAAATGAAAATTACACATTTTCTTTATTTGAATCGTGAGTTATCTTCTTTAAAATTTAATATTTTTAATGATACTGAAACTAGCCACATACAAATGGCCAAAAAGGTTTCATTACAAGTTTATGCATACTGTATGCGAAAAGACTTTTCCTCAAACTAATAGGTACATTTTAATATAAAGAATAGATAACAGTACCGTAGTAGAAATATTATCATTGCGAAAGGTAGAATTCATTGACGTTATTTTTAAATATTGGTAAGGAATACCCGCAAAAATGAGGACACTACCTTTTATGACGCGTTTGCCACGCGTGCTGCAGGCGGAATACCAGTACAGTAGCGCAGTAAGCTCAACTTACTGTTTATACCAAAGAAATCAGAGATGAAGCCAACTCGACAACACACAATATAATGGCACATTTAGTTAGTTTTTAAGTATGTGATATTAATTTTATTTTTTATTCTAAAAATATTGTAGATCTAAACACTTACTTGAAATTGCCAGAACTGAATATAATCTAATAATACAAATAATTATTTCCAGCTGTCTTTCTCATCATCTGAGATTTATGCGTTAATGTGCCATCCAAAGTTTCTAGGAGCTGGAGAGAAAATATATTTGGTCTCTACCTACAATATTTGGTGGTAATGATAACATATTGCATAATCATTTTACCATTACCCATAAAAGTTGTTTGTTAAATATTTATGTGCATTAAATAGTGACGTGTTGCTTGTTCGTAATTACCAGTTATAAACGAAAGATTAAATTGGCTGCAGATTGCAATATATCAGTTATTTTGACATTTTTTAGAACCATTAATCGAATTAATTGCTAATCAAGTGTCTGCGTTGCATACAGAAGTATTGTTGTCTCCCTCTTGTTTCAGTTGTCAAACTTCTCACCGTCAAGTCAGAGTGGAACGCGGCCGCGACGTCGTCAAAGGCTGTCGCCCGAATAACGACGTCGGCATCGATCGGCGCCCCGAGCTCCGACTGCCCGCCCGTCACCTCGCACGTTCCAAATTCGAACGTTTAAACAAATACTGTTTAAAAAACTTTTAAATTCTCCTTTGTCTATCAGAAAAGTTTGGCGAACAAGATTGAGACACAGCAAGATTTGCGAAAAGATCAGATAAACATCATACGTTTTATCCCATAAAGTTTGAGTAGAGCTTTAGTGACACAAGGCCTAATGGTTAAAAAAAAATTTGGGCAAATGAAAGATAACTCCAAAATTCAGCAGCACTGAACTTAATGTCACTCGTTCACTCACCAAAAACGGCAGTAAATTCATAAAAGGCAATATTCCCCCCTGTGAGAAGATGACAAATACATGTTAAAACAGTTGGCACGTTCGGTATCTTTTCGCTCACACATCAGCATAAAAAAACTTTTAACCAACTACATTTAATTTTCTAATCAAAAGTACACCTTGCGGTTTCTACAGACAACATAATCACACACCGACTTTTTTGAAATGTTGCCATACTAAAATTTATATATGCTAATGAGTACGTTTCAGTGTTGCAACTTCATTAAAGGGGCAAATTACTGGTACGGTTTTGCTATCTGTAATGAGTAAAGGAATGCATTGCAAGGTGCAATGAGTCCGATGGATTTTTACTGGAGGGCCATAAATCAGGCGGGCATACGCCTTCGTCTAATAGGAATTATAATTGATTCCCTCCCAGGGTAAGTCGTTTTTGTGATAGTAATGTCCGATTTAAATTGTTGTTTAATATCGGGCTGATGAAACCGATAATTCTAGATGGATTTGTTTATTATTGAGCCTTAAGAAAAATTATTCTGCTGTTATTAAAAATAAAAAACGAATATATTTCGGTTAAAGTAAAAATAAAATTAATATTCTGAGGCCGCTTTACTTTAATATTTCAAAACATCGAGTTTTGTTTAAAATGTTTAGAATA